CAAAGTCATATGTTAATGAGGAAAAATGTAAACAATGACGTCAGCAAAGATTCGCCTTTACGGTAACCTCAAATAGATCCTTATAACTTTTTGTGCTGTGAATAGTTCCTTAATCTTAACTTTTAGGTGTCCCTAATTAGCAGTGGGTTTCACCCTCAGCTATTTTACCTACACACATCAATAAAGTTGTTGTTGTTGTTGTTGTTGTTGTTCTCATTTATAACCTGCAAGTGGTGAGAGGCCTGCTCCTGAACACCATACAAGGACTACAATCATCTCAAAGCCTGCAGTCAAACATGATAACCATAGGCTTCCCACTTAAAAGTTATAAGAATAATTCCTTTGAATCTGCTTATATTTTAACATTACCTTTTATATTTGACTGTAACAGATCAACCACTAAGATGTGACTTGCATCTTCCAATCTAACTGTACCATTTGACACAGCAAAATTATCCAGTGCTATTTCTGTTAAATAGAGCCCCCAGTGATCTAGATTGCTTGTCAGCTGTTTTGCTATCTTGATAACGGCCAGAGCAAGCTCTGCTCTTTCTAGCCAAGGATGCAAAAGGAAAGAATCAAGAGGAAGTCCAGCATCCTCCATGACAATTGCTCGACCACAAGCTCCATAGAACTTAGGGAAAGGCCATCCCTTCTCTGAAGGAAACACCTTAAGAAAGAGGGAGAAAAAAGCTCGTACAATAAGAAGAACAAATAGTCTTTACCTCCGCAAGAAATTCTGGCTTACCAGGGACTCTGAAAGACCAAGCTGCTGGTAAAATAAGTATCTTTCTTATTTCGTTGTAAATTTTCTAGTATCAATCTCATTCTGTCACAAGTACACAACTTTCACCTGGCTTCTCATTGCAAGGTCATCTAAGAGATATTTTGCCTGATTCAAAGATTCAAAGAAAGGAGCTTTTTATGGTGGAGAGAGGGCCACAAAGAGGTCAACTTACTATAGAAGCTGAAGTAGGGGGGGAGGGGCATATTTAGGGCAGAAGCTAAATAAGTGTCTAGTCACCAATGAGGGCTTATTCAAGAAAGGGCAGGGCTGGGGCGGATACAGGATTTTAGAGATGGGATTTCCAGCATTCTGAGGCCAAGTCAGCTTGTTATATATAATGCCTCATTTGTTTTAATTTAGGGAGTTTGGCTGAACTCTTTGAACTCACCCCTCCCTCATAGATCTGCCCAAGCAGAGGCTGAATGGGATATAATGTCTTGTTACAAAGAGGCAAACTCATCATACAAGGGACTGGAGTGGACACTTTTAATATAAGAGAGCTGTGGCAGCCTAAAAAATTGCTTGGTGCAAAGAGGGGAACTTATTTAACAGAGGCGTGGTAAATTGATATTAATGGTATCAGCCTTTGGATTTGCTGACCTCCTACCTGAAAGATTATAGGTTCCTGATTCAAATTCAGAGTTGAAGTCAGGTGTAGAGTGTTATGCCTAACTTGGCTGTTTTGTACATTATCTCCAAAATATATCATCTTTACTTTTGCTATCAGCCTGCTGGATGGGCAGTACATGGTTTCTTTCATTGAACTGAACAAACAAAAACATAATAGTTCTTGAGTAAGAAGGCTGGGATAACCTCCAGAGCCGGTCTGATGGTCCCTGGCTTGTATGTAGACTTTACCTCTACCTACTGTTCTATTATCTTTATATGAGGAAATATATTCAATTACGTTTTTTGCAATTCCATTTTCATAATTTAGTTTCAGAATGAAGTGAAACACAATGTGATATATATATGAACAAAGCAATCATTTAAGAAAAGTAAACATTCCCAATCAAATTACTGGAAAAAAGGTTTGTTAACCAAAGTCAGATCTGAGCACAAAATAAACATAATTTGTAACTAGTAATCAGAGATTATGAGAGTGCGTTTGACATTCTCACTTTAATATATATATATCGTAAATAAATGATTTCACTAGCTGACTTTCAACCTTTGTTGATTGCTAAAATCGACATTTTTCAGCAGCAACCAAGGTTTTACAGTCAGATGTGCATAGTGTCAAAGTCCATGCTAGTGAAGAGGTCACGATTTATTGATACGTTGCATGACGCTGCCAGTTTCTGTAGACTCTCAAGTTTCATAGAATATTTAAATTACGTACATTATTCTAAGCTAGCATTTGCAATTGCGTGCTCGTTTTGCGTGGTCGTTTATTGTAAACAAACTCCTTGCGACTAATTCCAGTATTTCCCTGGAGGAATAAAGTAGTCTTATAGATCTTGCCTTCAGAGTACTTTTCCACCGATTCCAAAGAATAAAATTTTGACCAGATAAAGACTGAGTCATCTGTCGCGACTGACACTAATCAACAAATGCAATCAAAATGTAGCTGTTCCCATGGTTATCATCCCAAAGCCAAGTCGTGTTGATAAACAAGGACAATTCCCTCAGATTTCAATAATGCTACCACCAAAGCATTTAAATTCGCCAAAAGCTATCACTGAGAGCACATAATAGTGAAGCATGCAGCGACTGAATGGAAAGAAGTCAAAGAAAGATCCATCAGAAAGACGAGCTCACATGGCCTGCTCACATACTCACATGTTCGCCACTTGTCTTATCACATGTCATTGCACGGTACCAGTTTACTGGCCGTGGCATGCCCCTGCAAAAATCAAGCTGGGTGGCCATTTTGGTGTCCTTACAGCAATGTGGTTTTTTCTGCCTACAACCGTGCATAGGCAAACCAACTCTGGTAAGCTACAGGTCAAAATTAGGTTTGCGTTCCACTTCGTCGAACACAACAAAATGGAACAAACAGGAACAGACGGATCATTTATATATAGTCGATAAAACAATATTTCGAGCAGGAAATCATGAAGTTTTGGTTTATAAGATCCTCTATATTATATAAACCCATATCTTTATTAAAAGCTACACGCTCTTGAACTGTTACTTACCTATCTACAGACGAAACATTCAGGAATGATTTCCACACGACATCAGCCTCGCACGGACTGTTTATCTTTCCCACAATGCTGCAGATTTCATTATCCAGTTTGTAAAACTCGCTGGCATTCCCATAATGCTTGATTGAAATTCGCTTCGTATTCCATAAGCCTACAGCTCTTGGTTTCCACTTTTCTTTGGATTTAGTCTCCTTCTTGCGGAGTATTTTAACCGTATTGTGTAAAATGCCCTCGCAGACAGATTCGTTTCGACCAAAGCAGACAGGACAGAAGCTAAGTCCGAGATGATCTGTATTCACGGTAATTCTACCCTCCAGTTTGTATGAATAATCTTTTAATTCTGGATCACTTCTTTGCTTTAACAGTGATACAAGGACGAGAAAACTAACCATAACTGGTACAGCTACGCAACAGGAACTTCGCCATCGCCTAGGCACGAAATAACTAATAACGAGGTGACACATCACGTCAAAAACACATTTCGCTTTTGAACTTTACGGCAAAGTCTACAATGTATTGTAACAATTGCCTGCATGATTTCTAGCTCATCCAGAGAACTTCCTGTAATGGAATATTAAATATCCATGATACAATCGATGTCGGAAAAAGTCACATAAAGATATCAAGTTGTAAATGATTATTTGAATTGGACTTCGAGAGAAATCAAGCCGAACATTCGATCACGCGGTGGTTTTCAGTCAGGCGTAAAATGGCAACATGCAATCGAGGCTGATCAAAAAACACCTGCTTTGCATTGGCTTCGCGTACAATAGCAACTTCTCTGTATGTAACCTTTAACTTTATACCACTTTTGCCAAAATGTTGTCCTAGAAATGGCCTCACAGACCGTCGCTGAGAGTAAAGAGCAATTTCGAGCTGGCGACGGCGATGGGGAAGAGGAGGAAGATGGAGAAGAAACGTTAGATCCCCGTGTGAAGGTTACCTTACTTCCATAGCATTTGTGGTCGTTTGCAACGTACTCCCTGTAAATTCAGTTATTTTAATGCATTATTCATTTTTGAGCTTCGTTTGCTAGCAAAAGCCTCAGATTAATATAGATTCGTTTCATCCCCGTTGTGAGCTATTCTCTGTCATTTCAGGGAGAGCTCGATCGGCTGAACTCTTCGACAGCAGAAATCAACCGCCTAGAACAAGATCTCGAGGTACTGCATGTCCGTCAACAGCTTATTTATAAGCTTATATCAACGTAGATTGTTTTGCTTTCTGCTCTGTATATCTTGGTGGTTTTAATTTTAGTATAAACGTTTTGTCTAACTAATAAGCTTACATGAAACATCTTAGAAACTCTTCAATTCAAGTCTTAATTTTAGATCATTTAGCGTTGGACTTGGCCAAATCAATTTAAATTTCAGTGAGTGGTTTTAAGAGTTCAAGTTGTGAATTTTGGTACACTTTTCCTTCTTACTTCGAATATCACTTCATTGCTTGGTCATTGTTTATTCGTCGCTTTATTTATGAATTATAATATAAGCTTAATCCTGTTATAGAATCCTTGCTTAAATATAAATGTGATTTTTCCTCAACAGAGTACAATATTGTCAAAGTAAACAGTTGTCTGTCTCTTCGTGCGCTCAATTCTGCACGAACTTGAGACTCTTAATCAGAGATCCACCTTAAGAGTCCTGTCATTAATTTTTGAGGAAAAGTGAAAGGGTAGGCTCAATTACCAGCTGCTGTTTGGGACAGGAGCCTGGGCTCCTCCCAGCTGTTGTTTTTGCGGGAGGACACTCAGGGATCAGAACTGAGCAAACAGCAGAAATCAAGTTCAGTAGTTTGCGAACCTCTAGGTTTACAATTCCATTTACTTAATATTTCACTGATTTGTTATCCATATGAAATGTTTTTGAGGCGAGATATCAGTTTTAAATCATCTCGTGTTGTTCAAGAAAATATCCATACCCCTCCCACATAGAGTGTTTGGTTTGAACCACCCTCCCATCCCGCTGGAAATTCAGTTTTGGTTCATATTAATTTATATTGTTTTTGCCTTTTGAGACCCCCCCTCCCACATAGAATTTCCAGTAACCCTTCACGGGTTAGGTATATTTTCTGGAACCTCACATTTCATGAAGGTGGTACATGTAATTATTAACATATTGAAATGTTGAAACATCTTATTTTCAGGATCTCCAAGCAACCTTCAGGCAGACCCTAACAGAGTCGGCATACATTCTTAAAAGTCAAGCCACCTTTTTAGGAAAGTGCATAAATCAGGCGCGCCCTTATTATGATGCTGTCCGTAAAGCAAAGCAGGTTTGAAATTTTGTAGTCTTTTTACAGCTGAACTCTTATAGAACCTGGACTTTTGCAAGGGTTGATAGGTGGGGGGAATCTTTTAGGATGAAGATCCTTAACTATACTGGCAAGACTTATTACAAGTAGAAATTCCAGGGATTCTTAACCAGAATGTTTGAGTATCTCGATATTTAAGATTGTTGATAAGATGCTCATCAAGGTCTTGGAGAATCCTGGAATACTTTTTCTCGGGTATAATAAAGACTGGAATGGAAACAAATTAAGTCCCACTTACAGTAACCTTCATACAATGTATTCAACACCATTATTACGTTGGTTCTTTTCTTAGTCGCAGATTGAGACACAGAAAGCAGCCTTGAAATATGAGAGAGCATGCAGTGCTCACCAGGCAGCCAAAAAAATGCTTGCCATAGCAGAGCAGAGACTGGTTTCTACATCCAAAGAACACAAAGTACTGGATCCAACATGGCAAGAAATGTTGAATCAAGCTGTTCTTAAGGTTGGGTACCCTGTGTAGATTTTGTTGGTAATGTTAACTGTGAGTTCACTGTATACTGTGAGGTTTACAAAAAAAAATTATTGGATTTTTTTTGCCACAAAGTGATTACCTCACTTTTAACTCAAAATAAAACAACAAATTTCTATGATCAAAATAGTAACCGGTAAGTAAGAAGTGCAAGGAGTTATCAAGAACTCGCACTAGTGAAAGTTTTATTTGGAATCATATTTTCAATAAAATGTTCAGTGAATCCATTTACTCCTTTGGATTTGTTTGGTTTTGTGCAAATGACCCTAGATCACTGCAAATTTGTGATTGAAGTTTTTATTTTGTTTGGTGACAGAATGTTAAACAGGAGCGACTTCACAGGTTTATCCAAAGATTGCAAAGTCCAAGTGGAAGTCCAATATTTTTGGACTTCTAACCAGAACTTTCCAGGGGGAATCCTTGCCTGACGGCTGGCCAACGGCAATTAAGAATCTGGGTATGAGAGTGGGAAGATGGAGTGGATTGACAGGGAGGGGCCTTTAACAGGACATTCAGAACTTTATTTTTTATTTTCCTTGTTAATTTAGATGTGTTACTATTGCCCTGGTAGGTGATGGAGTCTGATAAGGAGCGAGCTCTGTGCGAAAGAGAACATCTTGAGACAGCACATACATTCAGTGAAGCTGGTAATCAAGTGACCGAGTTGAGAACAAAACTGAAGTCTGCTATTACCAAATCAAGGTACATGTAACAAGGACTATTTTCTCTTTTGAAAAAGGGAATACAAATGTCAGTAATACCTTTCAGCTGTTTTCATTGTCAAACTGATGGCCCAATTCATGACCTAAAAGGAAACTGTTTGAAAAACAGTGAATACTGGTACGTTTCTGGGGATTTTTCTCAGCAAGGGCAAGAAGGCTCAAAGCAGGATTTGAAGCCCAAATGGCTCTTGCATTTTATCTTTTTCTTGTGAATGCACTAGTTTGCATCTGCCTCTGATACAGGCATTTCAATGTATCGTATCATGTCATAGCTGGTGATATATGTCGCATAGCTCTAGGAATACAGTGGAACCTCCAGTTGCAACCAACTCTCATAAGCGACCACCTCACTTCAGCGACCAGTTCTCCAAAATACCAAAAGTTTGCAAGTCAAATCACTATATTTGGAACCTCTGGTAAGTGATCACCTCTTGCATGCAACCACCTAAGCTTGACATTTTGGGTGGTTGCTCATGTGAGGTTCAACTGTAGCAATGTTACTAATGGTATTTGATAACTACAACTTTTAAAAATGTTTTGTTGAATAAGAGCATGGGCTTTAATGTAATTCAGTTTGTTTCATTGTAGGCCATATTTTGATTTGAAGATGAAGTATGACCAAATCTTAGAGGTAAATAAATGATCTGGATTTATTTCATGTTTAGTAGAGTTGAAGACCATGTGTAGTTATAAATTAGGCCGGGGAGGGGGGGCACTTTGGGAATTTCTGGGTGGCGATGTGCCGCTGTGACCCTGGAACCCTTAGTCTATACCAGAGCTAGTTCAGCTGAATTTTGCTAACCTACACTAGAGTAAACTCCCCAAATCCCCCCATCTATTGACACTGTTGAGGCTGATTTGCGTAAATTTAAACTTGCCGATTTGATTTTTTTAAATTTTTGAGTGGCAATTTCTGGTTTCCTTACTCTAGATGAAATTTTCAACCAACCAGTCAGTTTTGTGACAAGTTATACCCTATTCTAGACCCAAACGCTCTGATTTGCCCTATCCTAGAGTAAACTGCTTGAAAACCATACCCTTCACAGCTGCACATACCTATATAGCCCATATATGGCAGTGCCCCCCCCCCCCCCCCCCCCCCCCCCCCCCCCCCC